GAGCTGAACATTTTGATTTATGAATGGTTTAAGTAGCATAAAAATTGTGGAAGGAGAAGCGGTCCAAAAAACATACGGAAGAAACTGTAACAATAAAGAATAAAGAGAAACATGAAAACCAGTGTGTGAGCATTCACACTATAACTCAAAGTGGCTTAACTTGCAAAATAACACTAAAAGAAGCATTAAAAACTTCAGTTAGCAGAAATAAGCTAATAGAAGTACAAAACAATTTATATTAGTAGAATTGCTGAAAAGGGAGAAAAAAATCTAAAATTGGCAACAAAAAAAGAAGAAGCTGAAGGAACCTAAAATTAGCATAAAGTTAAAGCAGAACCAGAACAAAAGGTGAAAAGTTCAGGAAAAGTTGAAGTATTTTAAGGACGTTGAAAACGACTCGATTCATTTTCAAAGAGAATAAAACTGGTTAAAAAAAAGGCTAAAAATCTTAAAAAGTATGAATTTTTGAAATACYAAAATTCGTAGCCTGAATGTCCTGAAGGAGCTTAAAGTTTTGTGAAATTGCACCAAAACTGCAGAACAAGATAATGCCAAAAAACTATGGATCACCTTAAGATAAAAAATGATTCAATTATATTTCTTAGAAATAAAGGAAATTATTATTATTTTTCCTTCCTTTGCTCCAGGGTTCAAACTCTGACATCTGATTTCATCACGTCTCATAAAAACCCGTCCGGACCTTTGTGTCCTCAGAGCTTCAGGCTCTTATTCTCAACATGGGCTCACAGGAAGTGGTCTCAACCTGACGGCCGGTCTCTGACCAGCGTCCGGCGTGGAGCCAGTTTGAGACCGGAACAGAGAGAAGCGTGGCGAGGTGGCGGAGGGGGCGGGGCTAGTCTCKGCCCTGACCCTCTCCATCCCAGATTGACCCTCTTCCACTCCTCTTACCCCCCGACCCCTGAACTCCAACCTGAAGGCGCTGCGACTGGAGAGCGGCATGCCGTCGGGCCGAGCCGGGTCGGGCCGGGCCGGGTCGGGCCGGGCCGGGCCTGACAGGAGCAGGATCTGGAGCCTGTCAGAGGCTGCAGTGTGAGGACACAAAGAAAGCTGTTTATATGTGAGGAGAGGATGTTTGGACTTCTCTGTTCATGAAGCTTCAGGCTGGATCCTGTAAACCAGCTTCACCAAACAAGCTGCGTTATTAAATGTTATCATGGCAGCTAAATCTGCAGAGATGATCAAATTTAAATATTTTCACAAGTATTCAGGTCACGTAGACGTTGCATAACCGGTTATTTCCAAGTCCAACACGGTGAAATTTACCATTCTGCTGATTTTCTTTTATTTAAACTGATATCCAATCCAGTGACTCAGCAGTTTTTTGTTAGTAGTTAGGGCATCGCTCAGCAGGGAGCTGCAGCTGATAAATTAAACATGGTTTTAAACCTGCAGCATGTTTCTGTGGATCTGCAGGCTTTTCACATCAAATGAGTGCTTTTAATGAAACTGAAGTGACTTCTTGACTTCTGCAAGTGTCTGATTACAAACATGATGTTCAGCTCTGCAGCGTTTACATCATGACACATGGAACAACTGCACCACGTAAAAACCAGTTTGCACATTTTTCTACCTGCCAGAGATGTGCACAAGTCTTTTTTTTTTTTTTTTTTTTTTTGCAAGTCCAAGTCTCGCATGTATCACTTACTGTATTTATTCAAGTATAATATGTAAAATTTAATCCATAAAATCATCCATAAAGTTGGGGGGTAGTATTATACTCGGATAAATATTTTTACTTATGTATTTTAACTGAAATATCAGCTTCATTCACAAATTACACGAGTCCTTAAATGAGACCGCGTCGTAAAAAGCT